TTTATATATATCTATAATATATATGTATATAAACGCGATTGGCTGTTGACGAAGTTGTACATGTGTCCAGTAAGGCTTACAGGTCTACGTAAAAAAATACTACTACATATAATTCATTCATGGCTATACCCATGAGTGTAAGTAAGTAAATGTATACTGATACATATATAAAAGTATATATATATACATCTTTGTATTTGATTGTGTATTTGGGTTTTCATTTTGGTATGTATCAATATATATATGAAATATGCATTGTTCTAAACATATTAAGATGCAATAAGTGTATGCGATGGGCACTCTTGTCTTTGCCCAAGCACAGTTTGGTGCTGATTCCTATTGTCGTTGCCTGTTGTCAAAATAGAACATGGAATATTATGTTGAACCATAAGTCGAACTATCGGTTAAGATATCAGTGTATATCCCGATAGGCAATTTTATGATTGGTACTCCTTGTCACTCACCGTATGCCATCACCATTTCTACTGTCTTCTCACCAGAACATACCTCCAAACCATTTTTTTTTCAAGTTTTCCTCAATATCTTTCCCTGCCATCTCATCATTCCATACATCCATACCATATCTCTAAACCAGGTTTTTTTAAGTCAATAGTTAATAGCGTGGTAGGTACGGTGGACAATGTATTCGATAGCACAGCCGCGCCGTTCCGGATTATTCTGTGCACAGTCAACAGTGACGTCAGCTTTGTGATATCTGTGGCAGATGACGCCGACGAGATTGAACGTGATTGGCTGTGGCTGAAGGAGTACATGTGGCCGGTAAGGCTTACTGGTTTACGTAGATGAATACTATGCATATATACATACATAATATATCCATGGATGTATGTAAATAAATGTATACTGATACATATATATATATATATTTATATATATACATGGATGTACGAAATAAAATGTATACTGATACATAAATATATATATATATATATATATATATATAACGCACAATAATGCATATACATGCATATGTATGCCCATATATGTATGTAGTTGTATACTAATACAATATACAGGAATATTCGTTCCCATGGGTGTCTCCTCAAACCTTTTGTTTTAGAGAACATCGAGTTGAACGGGAACAAGCCAGTATGTGTAAAAAAACTGAATTATGATAATTTGCAACCATATCTATGGCAATAAACACGATCGCTATGTTCATATCCAAATCTCCATATTTACTCAT